TGTTTTACTCTGTCTTCAACATTCAGCATATCCACCAACTGCTGTAATTCATTCTGGCCTACATGCTCTCTTGTGTATTAGAGATATTAGATTCTACCTAAGTCATGTACATCTACAAATAGTAACAAGCTAGAGTTTTGCCTACGTCGCCACCCACTCGGGAGTGAATCCAGGTCCTTCGGTTGTGAACCAAGGCTACCACAGAGCCGTCATCCGAACACCAGGCCTAGCGCGTGTCAGTTTACACAAGAGCAGTGTAACACTGAACACAAGCATGTAAACAATGTAACACTGAACACAAGCACGTGAACAATGTAACACTGAACACAAGCACGTGAACAATGTAACACTGAACACAAGCATGTAAACAATGTAACACTGAACACAAGCACGTGAACAATGTAACACTGAACACAAGCACGTAAACAATGTAACACTGAACACAAGCATGTAAACAATGTAACACTAAAACAAGCACGTGAACAATGTAACACTGAACACAAGCACGTGAACAATGTAACACTGAACACAAGCACGTGAACAATGTAACACTGAGCACAAGCACGTGAACAGTGAACACAAGTACGTGCAATTATGAACGTAACCAACCTCTTGCACGAGTCACGTTGTACATATAAATTGCAGTTAAATATAACAATGACGAAAGAATAATAATATAAATTTATTATAAAACCCAGTGTCTGATGTTTATAATATGGTTAGATTGATTGGATGGTTAATGGAGTTGAAAGTCTATCGACTACACTAAGCTCATTAAGACTCCGCATAACTTTTTCACCAGACAAGAATACTTGAATTTCTAAAATAGGGATTAAAGTAAACTCTCGGTGTATATACATGGTGAGAGAAATGCACCTCTCGGTATCCTGTTATGATATACACCCGGTGTGGTAAGTCACCGTGGAGGTGCAGGGAGAAGTTGAAAGTTGAGAGGGAGAAACACCTACATTCCATTTTGTCGTCAATGCTCCAGAGAACTTCCTCGTCATTATCATCGTCATCGCCTGTGCAGGAGCCGTCGTCAAATGACTCCTTCTGGAGGTCCTGTTCTAGCAGAGGGACATGCATGGCCTCGGTAGTTCCTCTCGTTCAAGCAGGACCAGCAGAGACAGTGGTAACGGCGTTGGTAGGGTAAAAAGCAGGTAGAACAGAGTGTAGGGACTTGAAGGTTTTAGCTCGGGGGTCTTGGCATGCAGGAAATTAGTAGTAACATTCGTTGCAGGAAGCAGAGTCAAGGGAAGAAGTCATCACATCTCCCAGCGACACAAGTGCACTTTTGAAAGAATTCAGAACGAGTTTGGAACTCTCAAGAGAAGTTTAGTCAAGTTCAACTGAGACTCAGGCTAATAGATAACACGAGAGATGAGCAAATATTGATGACAAAGCAAAACAAATACCAAGTTCCAAGTTCAGACAAGGTAAGATCCAAAACAATCTGGATTGACTGAAAAAGAAAAACTTTTGAACCCGGAACAAGAAAATACTTGACAAGAGAAACTAGAAGATAACGCTAAATATTGAAGGATGGAGACACGAACAGAGGAGTAAACCAAACAAACAATACTATTTTTCTTAAAGAGGACTATGGCAAGTCGAGCAGATAATGGTAACAAGAACAGCATCTGACAGCCGACACTTTAAGCAAAAGAACCAGAAACTTAGACTACCAACATCAAATGAGAACAAATCTACCAGAGGTCTCTAACAATTCCCTATGCCGAAACTTGAAAGTCCTGGCAGAGTTTAACAGGGAGTATAAAGAATGTAGTAACCACATGAAAAACAAGAGCTTGGGGTTAAAGCAACGATTACATGGAATTCTTCAGAGAACAAAAGCAAAATAGCAGGAAAACCCGGTCGTATTAAAAACTAGGATAAGCAAGTAAATAGGAATTGTGAAATTTGGCTGGAGAATACTACAGGGAGTAACAGACTTTCTAGAATGAGTACGAGAAGAATTGAAAGCTAGGTAACGGGTGCCTCAAGGACTAGGAATGGGTGGGTGAGGGGTTAAGGCGCAGGATGGTCCCATTACAGAAATATTTAGGAGAGAGCGAGCATTGCTAGGTGCTGTGGGGCCATGGTGGATCTGAAAGTAAGGAGAGACACAGTGAAAACTTAACAAACACGACAATGCTGAAGATGGAGACTCATGTACACACACGATGAAACCTCACAGTGCAGCGGACACTTGTTAGTGATTTGACACAACTCACGAGGAGACAGAAACACAGCGTCACAAAGTCACTGTGTATTTCGACCTTCCTCCGAGATCATCTTCAGTAGTAAATCATATCCCAGATGAGGATCGAAAAGTACAGTCTATTCTCACACCATGTTTCTGTATACAAATGAGTTTTCACGGTTCACATATATGTTACACATACCTTCGAAAACTGCAAGCCCGAAACGAAATTGGCATCATACATGGTGTAAGGAAACAGGCTTCATACACCGCCATAATAGAAATACACGAAGCACACTCACGCACACTCACGCACGCACTCACGCACGCACACTCACGCACGCACACTCACGCACGCACACTCACGCACGCACACTCACGCACACTCACGCGCGCGCGCGCACACACACACACACACACACACACACACACACACACACACACACACACACACACACACACACCAAAATGAACTAGTGTTTATACTTCAACGAGAGCAGTGGCTTTCAGGACACATCAAAACAATGAGGACACAAAAACCGAGGACAAAAAACAATGAGGACACAAAAACCAATGACACATCAAGACGTGTATTCTCTCACACGAAGTTAAACTAGTCCACCCACATCAATTAAAGAAAACATTTAATTGTCAGTGTCAAAAATTCTGACATAGTATACAAGCAATGTTGGAATGATTCATTTCTAGCTGGAAGTGACTGTAAATCTTCGTTCAAGATTTCATTATTATTATTATTATTATAGTTATGCGAACGTGGAGAATCCATAGTTGATATATAATAACGCTTGAGGAATGAGACACAAGCAGATACGATCTGGGACTGGAGTGGATGAGGTCCGTCGGTACTGTCCCGGCCGGGTCTTTTCCAGCTGGTGTGACCTGTGGCCTTCGATCTAAGAACGGGAAAGGATCGCTCAAAATTCCTAGGCGCAAGAGCCCTTCACCCTATATCACAGACTCGGTCCAAGAGCTACAGCTCGACCACCCCAGTAAACACTGACAGGCAGACGCATGTAAACACCCAGACGGGAGTAAAGGAATGCAAGTATTCAGGTTAACAAGACGGAGATAAGCGGGAATAGGCGAAAGATTATTTTATTTGTAAACTTCCAGTTTGTGCGTGTGTGTAGTTCATTACCTTTGTAAATTGCGAGTTCATTACCTTTGTAATTGTGAGTTCATTACCTCTGTAACTTGCTCAGCTATCAAAACTTTGGAGTCCAGTCCGTGGACCAATTATGTACCTCTGTAATATTTTGACTGCCGCCCAAAGTATGGGTATGGGGTGCATAGTACACATATTAAACTAAACTGTCTGTAATGTGTATGCCAATTTTAAGAGTCTGCATTCCAGTTTGTGCAATAGTGTGCACCAGAAACTACGTCATGTGTGCCACACACACACTACCTGTGCACCAGAGACTGCTTTATGTGCGCCCAGGTAGCCAGCGCAAGGTGCACACGAGCCGGTCAACACAAGTTTATACATAAAAAGCGAGGCGTTCACCATCTTTTCCCCGTGGTCGAGGCCATACTGTGTAACACTTTCTCAACAGGTTACTAGCGCCCTTCTCTCAGGAGACCCACCCTAACCTGACTACCCTAGTGCACTCTGTCACACGCACCTACCAACCTAACCAACCAGTCTATCGTACCGACAAGCTGATAAGACGCATGTGTAAAACTTTGGTATCTTTGTCGAAAAGTTTCCCCGTTCATCACACAGGATGGGTATGGGGTGCATAATAAACATATTAAACTAACTAACGTTCATCAGACTTCCTCGTTCAAGTGGAGAGGTGAAATTTGATGCTGGAGACAGTGTAAATGGAACGGTAACTTTGAGGTGTTCAGCCCCTCAGCCTACATTAAAAGCGTTCAGTCCCTTAGCCATAATGATACTATCGTACCAAGCTACCTACAGTGCCTACCAAAACAACCTCTCAACCATAAAACTACCTACCCAGCCAACGTCACAACCATCCACCAAACCTATCAACCTAAGTACGTACCTACTGAGCCAACCAACCTACTTACCTATCTATCCAAGCAAGTCAACCTACCAACCTACCTACCTACCTACCTCTCCCTGCCTTTTCTCTTCCACTTTCTCTCTCTCTCTCTCTCATCAATAGATATGCAGTTATCTCTAGACCACGGGACTGCAGTATTCATCTAGCTATAGATATGGTTGCAGGGGTTGAGTCACAGCTCCTGGCCCCGCCCGGTCTTCGCAACTGGCCGATTTAACAAGGTCCCAACTTCCTGGTCCCTGTCGTACCTGTATATAAAACAATAAATCGAGGAATCGCAGTTGATGGACTATATTTACATCTTATAGAATAGTATAAAGTAATAATATTTTGTAAGATGTCCAGGCTATATTGAAAAAAAAATCGAGCATATATATGTATCACAATAGATTAATAGCACAAGGGAATCGAGCTGCTGTTATGACTTTTACTCAGCACGATGCTGAGATTACTTGTAATGTACGTGTTTAGTACGCTGGTAGTAACTGGCTGGGTACAAGGTGGTAATGATGTATAATGGTAGATCGGAGTGTACTGTTGTACTTGATGTACTGTTGGAGTGCGAACAAGGTAACATGAAGGGATTCAGAGCGGATTGGTTAACCGGACTCGTGTTCTGGAGGTGGGAAGTACAGTGCCTGCACTGTGACGATGGAGGGGGGGGGGTTGCTACAGTTCCGAGGGTCATCTGAGCTGTGATATCCGTACACTTCTGACAAGACAGTCAATGAATGAATGACATTGACAGTCTCTTCTTCCTCGGGTCACACTGCCCCATTGAGAGACAAGAAGTGTATTAAAAAAATTATATAAACAAGACACAACGCAGGACATAATATTTTATTGTGAAGACGTTTCGCCTGCCAAGGACTTTATTAGTTCACGCAGCGAACAACTGATAACGTTTCTGGTGGGAGAAATGTCCTGGGGGATGGCAGTATATATCAGATAGGCCTGGGCTTTCAAATGAGCTGATTGGATCACAGCTCTTCGTGTGTAAAAACTGATACATGTAAAAAAAACCCGCATTGTGATTTATTTACACTGGCAAAACGTGTCCTCATAAAAGGTCAGGTCACACAAATGACCTCACTCGGTGTTGCCACATCTGCGCCCCCAGCCCACTTCACCTTGACGACCATGAAGGCTCAACACAGTGCATCACCAGAGTTCCTCACAATATGAGCGAAAGTAAAACATATGCAGCTGTTGGGTAAGTGTATTGTTGACTGAAACGTTTCGCCTACGCAGTAGGCTTCTTTAGTCAAATACAGAGACTAAACACTTCTCCAGGCTGAGGGAATGACCAACTCAAAACGTATTTCTCCAAGGCTGATGGACGGATTCCGTCATCTTTGCTTCGCTACTACGCCTACTGCCTCTGTATTAACTGAAGAAGCCTACTGCGTAGGTGAAACTTTTCACTCAATAAAGATACCCAACTGCTGCACGGAACGGGTGGGGTTTGAACCCATGACGAGCGAGTCCTAAAACTCCAGGCCAGTGACTAAGCCACTTGACCATGGATTCAAACCCCACCCGTTCCCTGGTTTGTAATTGTGTCACTACGATTTCGTGATTCGGAAGTCTTACTCTTCAACTTGTCGGTATTACTTATCGCTTTCAACAAAGTAAACAAAGTACACCGGGAAGCCACTGGCTGGACGAGCTCCCTACTGGAACTGGGAGACAAAATAAGTGGCTGGCAATACTAGCTAATAGGTCAATATGGGACATCTAAGGCCTAAGGTAACCGAACGACCTGGTTTAGAAAGACGCGTAAGCAAACACTAGGATATATTAGAAAACGTTTCGGTCCTGGGACCTCGATCACGGTCGGTATTTATTACCAAGGTTTGTACCAAACTCGGGGACCTATTTACGACCCACATGTGAGACAACTAGTAGCTAGGTAGGCACCTACCAGTACGAACCATTATGTCTGACAAAAAAAAAAAGAAAAAAAAAAAAAAAACCGAGGCAATATATGACGACCCTATCAGCAAAGATTCAGATTTCGAGATGAAACAGCAAGTAACAATAAAGACACATAGGGACCAGGAAATCACATCAACGACTGAGGCAGCTGGAGAAGAGGATGCGATTGGGGAGGTAACGTCAGCAGCATCCACCCACTGTCCCAGGCTACATTACGGAGATAATGCACGGAAGCTTACTACGAAAGATTGAACCGCAAACATCCACGCACTGCAAGGATGGGAGAGGGAACAGGAAAACTTGGTGCAGCAAACCAAGGACTGGCGTGGCTACAAGACGTCTTACACAAAAGAAGACCATTCACTTCAGTTGAACAAATTCAAGATGTTGGATAATTCAGGCCACATTTCTTGAGCGCATCTCTGACCCACCAGGAAACGAAATATCAAGTGAAGATTTCCTCTTACTGTTAACCTGAAATGAGAGTAGGGCGTTACTCCCGTGAAATAAGAGGTCACCGCCCAGAAAATGGGAGAGCACATTCCTGACCATTGAGGAACTGGACCCCGAAAGGAAACAGCAGGAGTAAGTCATGACCTAGACAAGACACATGGACCTGAAAGCAATCATCAACCCATCAGAAATTCCGAAAGCCAAGTGATGCGAAAGCAAACGCAACAAATATGCCAGAACACTTTATTCAATATTGAGTTTGTGATGTAGTTACCAGGTCAGAGCCTATACACCGTAGTATATAAATGCACCGGCTACCTGAGGAATGGACACGAGTCGTTGCGGTACTCACAAAACAGAAGTGTTCCTAGACAAACAGCAGAAAGGAAGAATCCATTCCTTGGTGCTCCAACTGCAAGAAAAAGTAACATGCATGGAGCCTGAAGAAATCTTTTATATTGGTGTGAGACATGGGCTATCGACGAGGAGGAGGCTGGAGGCAGCGAAGATGTCGGAGTGTAGAAATAGAAGACAGTGTGGGGTTATAAAAGATATCATTAAGATGACAGAGGAGAGGGTGTTATGATGGTTTGGGTATTTAGAGGCTAGATCAAACTAATATGAACAAGAGGCTGTATAAATCTGAGGTGAAAGTGAGGACGGTAGAGCTCGTCTCAGGAAGGGTTGGAGAGAGGATGTGAAGTCGGTTTCAGGTGCTAGGGGCTTGAGTATCCAGCAGGCACATGTGAATAGAAAGGAGTGAGTAGAGGCAAGTGATTTCACGGCTTGACAAGATGTTGGAGTGAGGTTAAGGTAACATTTATAAAGGGATACAGGGAAACCGGTTAGCCGCACTCGAGTCCTGGAGGTGGAAGTACAGTGCCTGCACTCTGAACGAGGGGTGAGGATGTTGCAGTTCGTAGAGTCATCTGAACTATGACACCTGCACATTTTTGGCAAGACAATGACTGACTGAATGATGGCTAATGTTTCCTCTTTTGGGTCACTTCGGTGAATATTACACCCGGGGCTCCGGGATGCCAATACGTCGTAAAAGCAACGTAGCAACCAAAACGCAGGGGGAAAAAAAAAACTGAGGCATTCTACAGTGAAAATAGTAAATTGGATGTAAGTTGACTATCGTGGGTCGCATCCTGGGAAAAATTGCAATGCAAATGAAGCGCTAAACCGTGTATTCTAGCACGAGCTAAATAACTGCCTGTGATCAGTGAGGCTGTTGCTGATGGCAGATTGCATATCTGTAAGAAATTACCTTACTTAACCTATCCTAACATTCAACGATGCAAATGTTGAGCTGAGGAGATCTTCATATATTAAATGGAGAAGCGCTAAATTCGTATGGGACGATCAGGTTTGATCTGAGGAAGAAGAGGTTAGCTCTAACTCCTTTGACGAACAGCCCACCACCAGTGCCCCTCAACCTTGAATATGCATACAAAATGACTGTTGATAATTGAATTAAATGAAGGGGCTGGCCAGCACTTCAGCTTACAATAAGGGACCGGGGTTCGATACTCGGACGAGTGGAAGTGTCGGGCATATTTCCTTACACCTGCTGCCTCTGTTCACCTTGCAGTAAGTAGGTATCTGGGTGTTAGTCGACTGGTGTGGGTGGCATCCTGGGGGACAAGAATAAACGACCACAATGGAAATAAGACAGTCAGTCCTCGATGATGCACTGACATTAGTGGCTAAGCCTCCCTGCCACGGGTTAATAATCCCAACAAAATCTTATTATATCTTAACTGGAGTAACACGGATATAAATACATGACTGCAAAAATAATAAAACCAGATGGAACTATCACAGCGCTTGACTTGAACGATTTATCCCAGCTTAAATCAAAACAATGTGTCCATGAAACTTGTGTGCCCTCAAGACCATTAAAAAAAATTGAAAACAGTGTAAATAAATAATAAAAAAACCTAAAAACTTACCATCACTAAGTTGAGAACGACGTTTTTTAAACATAATGCTGCTCAAACTTGCCCCACCATCACCAACGCCACCCAAGTCTCACAAAACACAAGACCGCAAACTCTTTATATAAATCCACTTCCAGCTGCCTCTACACAAACCCACAATATTCACATGGCGCTCTACCCACACACTGCACCCGTAACACACCTCCTGTTGAGGAATATCCTCTATAAGGACCACACGACCGGGGAAATTGTATGAAATGTCAGGAGCGGCAGTGAGTGGTAGCAATGAGATTGTGTCAGAACTGTATACGTCACCCAGGAAATCCTCCACAGCAAGACCACAGCAAGACCACAGTAAACCACGGCAAGACCACGGCACAACCCTGAGTCTCTTTAACACTGGGGGTAATTGTGTGGTGTAGGAGGAAACACTGCTTCACCTTCTATTTATTTATTTATTTATTTATTTATTTATTAACAATTTGAGCATACATACAGAGGTACAAAAAAATACAGATAAGAGCAGCATGCCAAAGCCACTTATACTATGCATAGCATTTCGGGCTGGCTTAAAATTAACTAAGCAATGATGAAATCAGTGATAATACATTATTGTAAACAGATAACTATAAAGCACAAATGAGTATTACAAAGACAGGTCATATGGTTGCATTCAGTCATATGAAGGATTCTGTTAGGTAGTGTATTTAAAAAATAAAAAAAGTTAGTTTGGGGTTTTAGGTTTAACTTTTTATTAAATAAATTGTGAAAACTTTTAAAGATATACAATTTAAAAGGTTCAGTTTTTCCCAGTATTTTTTTGTTTTTGGGGTAGAAAAGTGATCTTTGAGAAGAGACTTAAATTTTTAAAAAAGGGGGTAGTGTTTCTTTTATATTTACAGGTAATGAATTCCAAAATTTTGGGCCTTTTATTTTTCCCCTTGAGTTTACCGGGAAGGGGCCCCCGGGGGGTTAAAACGCCCCCGGGGCCCGGTCTTGACCAGCCTCCTGGGGGGATCAGAGCCTTTAAACCGGCTTTTTTGCTCCCTGGCTGCACGAAAAAACCAAGTACGGGGCCACACCCGGCTAAATCGGGAACTGACTTTAGGTGCTTGTCCCGTGCACTTGAAGACTGCCGGGGGTCTTTGATAATCCCCCTTAGTTTGCTGGGAGGCATTAAAAAGCCCTGGGGCCCCTGACATTTTTTGTATGGTCTCTTAACGGGGCAATTTTCCACCCCTGTTTTCTTTGGGGGGGATGGCGCTTTCGTCTCCCAAGTCTTTTGCTTTCGTAGGGGAGTGTTTTTCCCGGGGGTCCCAATTTGGGTACTAGTCCCCTAGGATTTTTCCGGGGGGATATAATCACGTTTTCCTCTCCCTCCTCTTCCGGGGAATACAGGTTTGGGAACCCTAAAGGGCCCCCTTCCCCTTTTAATTGAGGTGTTTTATCTCCGTTTGCGCGCCGTAAAAAATTTTTCTCTGACTTTTTTCTAGGTCGCAATTTTCCCCCTGCCTTGAAAGGGTTTCTTTTTTAGTGTGAAAGCAAATTCCAGCCCTAGATAGAACAATTGCCGAAGAGTGCCCCATCAGGGGCCCTTGGCCCCCTTTTTTTGAAGGTTCACATTACCCCCACCTTCTTTTTTTCCTGCGTTTGCAAATTGATAAAAAGTTAGGGTCCTTAAAAGGTGAAAATTCCCCGACATGCAAAACCCCAGGTCTTTGACTTTGGTGTTTCGCTCAAATTTTGTGGCCAGAATTTTTTTTTGTTTCTGAGAAGATTTTTTTCCCCCTCATTTTTTAAACCATACCCTTATAATTAAATTTCTTCTTTGGGGGAACTTCATATTTTTTTCCCTGCAGCCCACTAAAAATTTTGGTTGATGTCCGCCGGGGATTTTTTGCAGTTCTGAAAGGGGGAAAAAACGTAAATGCAGTTTTCGGGTTCATCTGAAAAGGGAAAAGACACGGTGCTTTTGGCTGACACCCTTTTCTGGGTGGGATATGGGGATGGGGAAACCCAAGAGGGGGGCGACTACGGCCCCCTTGGGGAACAGACCCTTTTCAACCGTAGTTTCCCCTTTCGGCCCTTTTACACTGTTGACGACTACCCCTTTTTTTCTGTTAGTGGAAAAAATTATAGACCCCCCCCGCCCCCTTTTTTCCCCTGTTTTTCCTTTTAGAAACGCTTTTTGTGCGCTTTTACCCCCCATTTCAAAACTTGTCGAAGGCTTTTGCAAAGCCCCTGTAAAATATTACATCCCCTTTCCCTTTTGCCCTTCTAGTGCATTTGGGAAACCTTTAAAAATGATCCAATAGTTGAGACAAAACCGGAGCAAAACCTCTTCAAAAACCCATGTTGCCCTGGGTTTTGGTAACTGAGGGTTTCTAGATGGGTGGTGATCTTGCTTTTTAGGCCCCTTTTTCAAAAAATTTTTATGATAGGGGATGTTAGTGCTTTTGGGTTTCTTGAAAGTTCTTTGCTTTTTTTTAAAATCCCCCCTTTGTGGAGGGGGGCTATGTCTTTTTGGAAATTAAAATTTTTTTGCATAGGGGTAAATTTTGGACACGAGGAACATCAAAGAGTGATCTGTCCCTTTGGGTTTTTTATGGCCATGTGTTCTGTTGAGGTTGGCAAGGATTTTGAGGGGGGGGTTTAAATTTTAGAGTTAAGTTTTTCAAATGTATGAAATAGGTGCAGTAATAAGTAGGATTTTTTTTATGGTGAGTGGGTTTTAGTGTATTGAATATTATGGAGTGGCTGCCTGTATTGAAAATTTTTTATCATTCTAATTTTGAAAAGGCCTTTTTTTTGGGGGTAATTAGTGGTTTTTGTGAGGGTTTAAAATTGTTGTTGAGCCCCATGCACAAATTCCATACCTGGCCCCGGGGGTCCCTGGAGAGATTTTTGGGGGGTCAACCCCCCGGGGCCCCGGCCCTGGGGACCGGCCCCCCCCTGGTGGATCACCCCCCTAACAACCGGGGCTTTTGCGCTGGCTGCACGCAAACCAACGAAACGACCCAAAACCAAAAGCCCCGGCTGATCGGGAACTGATTTTAGGTGCTTTTTCCCAGTCCCCAGCTTGAAGACTCCCAAAGGGGCCCCCTTTTTGGTAACCCCCCTTTTTGGTGCTGGGGGGGAAATTTTAAACACCCCTGGGGCCCCTGACACTTATTGTAGGGGTCTCTTAACGTCTAGGACACCCCTGTTTTTCTTTGGGGGGAGGGTGCTGTCTGCCAAGTCTTTTCCCTTTCGTAGTGAGGGGATTTTCGTGTGAAAAGTTCGGAAACTAGTCCCTCTAGGATTTTCCATTTGTATATAACCCAGGGAAACCCCCCTCCTGCGTTCCAGGGAAAAACAGGTTTAAAAACCTCAAGCGCTCCCCGGGAAATTGAGGTGTTTTATCTCCGTATGCACGCCGTAAAGGGTTTTCTCTGTACATTTTCAAGGTTTGGGGGAAATTTCACCTGCCTTGAAAGGTCCCTGTTATGTGCAGCAAATTTTTCCAGCCTAATAGAACAAGTGACCGAAATGTCATCATGGGTTGGGCCCTTTCCCTATTTTTTAAAGGGTTTCTCTTTTACCACCCTTTTCCATTTTTACAGATGCATTGATACAATGTTATGGCCTTGAAGGTGGATCCTCCGACAAAAAACCCCCCCAGGTCTTTAAACGTTGGTGTTTCGCTCTTTTTTGTGGCCGGGGTTTTTGGGGTTTTTTGTACTCTGATGAAGATTTAATTTCCTCATTTTTACCATATCGGGGTTTTGGGTTAAGGTTGGGAAAGGGTTTCGTCAGGAAACAAAACAAAATGTTTCCGGAGCGGGTCTTAGCCCAGATAAAGCCCCCCCTTTTTGGGACTTTTGGTCATCTGACCGGGGCCTTCCGCGGCTTACCGGTCCCCCCCCTTTAAAAAATTTAAATGGTCATTTATAACCAGCCCACCATATTTTAGAAAATTTGAAATTTCTCATCGTTGAATTTCCCTATTTTTTTCCCCTTTGCACCCACAAAAAGATTTTTTTGATGCCGCCGGGGACCCTTGCAGGGGTCGGGCAAGGGAAAACCCCTTTCATGAAATTTGGGGGGGTGTCATCTCAAAAGGAAGACAGGGTGCTGGGGCTGACTTTCCCTTGTCTAGGGTCGGAAAAGGGGATAAAACCCAAGAATGGGAGCGACTCCCTGTGCCTTGGGGAAACAGAGCTTTTCCCCACCGTTAGCTGCCTCGGACTTTACTCTGTTACGACTACCCTCTGTTTTCTGTTAGTGGGGAAATTTTAATAGCCCCCTTTCGGCCCGGACTTTTCCCTGTTATTTCCTTTACCCAACGCATTTTGTGCGCTTTTTAACGCCATGGTCAAAACTTGCCCAAAGGGTTTTTTGAAAATTCGTAATTTTTAAAATTCGCATTTTTTTTGGGTCTTCAATTGCTTTTTAGGACCTTTCGTATTACCCAAAATATTAGCAGACAGGAGCGCCCTGTTCAAAACCCCCATGTTGCCCTGGGGGGTTGTTTTTTTAAACCTGAAAAGGTTTTTTCTGGGGGTTTTTTTTGGGTGGGGGGGTTTTCTTTTTTGTTTTCCCCCTTTTTAAAGGAAAACCCTTTTCAAAAAAAATTTTTTATGATATGGGGGAATTTGGGTTTAATTTTTGCAAAATTTTGGGGTTTAAAAAATTTCTTTTGTTTGCCTTTAACCTTTGAAAACTGCCCCCCTTTTTGTGATTGGGGCCCTTTTCTTTGTTTTAAAGTAAGGGGCCCAAACCCCGTTTTTCCATTTTTTCCCAAAAGGAAAAAAGGGTTTTTTTGGGTTTTTTTGTTTTCAAGGGCCTTTATTTCCTTTCCCGGGGCAATTCCATGGGATTCTTTTTCCCCTTGTTCAAATTTCAATTTTGGCCAGGATCCCCCTCGGTTTTGGGTTTTGTTTTAAAGGCCATTTTTTTTTCCCCCCTTAAAAAATTCCCATTTTAATCTTCCTTTTTTCGGGGTCCTTGGTTAACCGGTGCCAAAAAACTGGGGGCAAAATTGGGGTTTTGGGGTTGGCTTAATTATCTTTCCCGCTTTCATCTTTTGGGGGCCCCTTTTGGGTTTAAATTTGGTCCCTATTTATTGGGTTTTTTTATTAAGGGAAAAGAATTTTTGGTTTCTTCGATTTCATTTTTGGTTTGGGGGTTTTTCCCGCAAACTGCTCCAAAAAATTTTTTTGTCTTAATTTTTTTTAAATGGTTGCCAATTTCTTAACCTTTTTCCCCCTAGTTTAGAAAAATTTTGATCTTTTAAGCTTGGGCCCCCTCTTTTTTTCTTTTTTTTCCCCCTTTTTTAAAAGCCCTGCCTTTTATTTTCATCAACTCCCCCCTTTTTCTTAAGGAAAAAAATTTTGCATAACCCCCAAGGGTGC